AGTTACTAAGGTGTCTGGGCGTTACCACCAGAACTGCAGAATTCTTAGCTTTTAGGCTTCCTGTTGAAAAATTTATTCACTTCTGATTGAATAACATAGTATGACTGCACAAAGGCTTCCATGATCATGAGATTTGGTTGCATTACCAGGCTTCCTGAGAAGTTGTTCTTGTGTTTGACCAGTAGAGATCTGGGCTCCTTTCTCCTGCTGCAATGCCTTGTGAATGCTAAGAGGAGAAAACAGAACACAAGCTCCAGGGCTATTTCTGTGCTTCAGAATCTGCAGGAACACCCAGCATTTCTCTTAGTAAGATTTAGTCTGAAGGTACCACTGAATGCTTCATAATTCATGTCTCTGAATATATAAGTTATCCTCATCAGTCCTCTGGATTTTTTTCTAAGAAGGATATAATTAGTAAAAGTAATTTTTGATAATATGACTGAAAAAAGCATGAAGGAAAGCAGCATAGTCGACTGTGAACCTGTCTCAGTGGAAGCAATAGGAGCCAAAACTGCTCCTTAACTAATCTCTTTTCAGTGATCTGACATGGATGAATTTAAGCTTAATAAATAGACTTGGGGGGTCTGCATTAATTAAATGTTCATATGTTAGAAAGGAACAGAAGTTTGATTTTAAAAAGCCCATTAAGTCAGCAGAGATTCTTTAGTCTAGTTTAGTGATCTCTGAGTCAAATACTACAAATATTAGCCAAATGACAGTCAAGGTTTACAGATAAGAGCTCTTATCTATTCAAGTCTCTCCATATTAATTAAGAAGATACAAGCACAGACAATACGGGAAGAATCAACAGGTTCAGATTCCTGCTGGCAATTGCAGGAAGAATCCAGATGTCTTGTATAACAGGGAGAGTAAGGAAGGTAAGAACAAAACTCCAATCGCCACAAAAAACCCCATGACAATTTGTCTTGAGCTGTTCCATACAGGAAACCCTTCCTGGCACCAAATCTGACCTTTTTTTGTTTTATGATAACATCTAGAGGCATCAAGCAAGTATCAAGAACTTAGTGTAATATGTACCATAAACACCCAGCAACAAAGCATCCCACAAGGAAAATACACATTTATATTTGAAAAAATATATGGTTCACTGAAATATCCCTGCAACACATCTTAGGCAGGTTTCCATACCTCAGAGATAAAGATGCCTAATTCAAATATTAACCACCAGTCTCAAATCAGAGGTACTGATATAGGGAGGTTTTAAGTTTCGAGTACATTTCGAGTCCTGTAATTAAAAAGAAATCTAGACTTTTAGCTTAACTTGAAAGCATGACTAAATGTATACAAGACTGAAAGAAGTCTGTGCAAATGTCTGTCATGGCAGTCATTCTGTGCTGTTGATTGCAAACCAACGGTGTTAAACTGCCTTGATAAAGCAAATATCCTAGTGGCAAATTGCCTTAAGCTCCCTCAGCAAGACAGTTCAGTTACTGTGATTTATTTTAATTTAGATTTGTGTAGCATGTACTTTTCGAGAAGTGTGCCTAATAGACCATTAGCGTTTTCCCAGATAGCTGTGGTGCTTCAGCACCTTCATCCTTCAAATGTCTTCGTTATTTTCAGTCTTCTTTCTGCAAATTTGTCTCTTGCACTGGGAGATACGTGACATATGGGCCACATGATACCTTTGAGGATCATGCCATTTTTAAATAATAGCTTTTGGAGTGTCAATGCCAAGCAAGAGAACCAAGGCATGTATTAGCAGGAGGTTGTCACATACCGCCATATATGGAACACATACAAAAAATTCTTTATCAAATTTGTTTCTCATTTGTTCCTTTGTAGTGGATCCATCAGTTATTTTCAGGTGGGGTTTTTTTGTAAATTCCACACATTCACAGAGCTGGAGTTATCATTTTCACAGCAGCCAGAGATGCTTGCCTGTTCTGGATCACTTCCTTTCCTAGTAGTTTTATTTACAGTTGATTACTTCCCTAAGATGAAGGAATGGTCCTTACTGACTTTGAAATTGCTATCTGCCAGCATGACTCTAAGCTCATAATGCAAAAACTCACAGAAAATGAATTAGCAGGTATAGCAAAATCCCTGGAAATCATTCATCACTATGGTAGACCTGATGTAGAATATATTCAAGCTTTAATGAATATGAACCAAAAAGAGCACAATAAATTGGAAAATTCAGAATCACAAGGCTGCTATTAGGAATGTGAGAAATAAGATGTTGGAGCATGAGAACACTTATCTTCAAGCCCCCACAAACCAAATACACATCAGATAAATCCTGTACTTTATAGACATATATACTTAATAAAACTACCTACAGAGCGCAGACAACAAATCCGGTTTTTACTTCCCCCTCCCAGGTCTCACTGCATTCAAACCACTGGTTTTCAGCAAAGCCAGCTGGGTTTAACTTGAGCTGGCAGCCCTGGGTACTGTCCCTGCAGTCAATTCTCTTCTCTCAGACGAGGAGGACGTCAGAGGCAGAGAGAACCAGAATGCCAATTTAAGTGACCACGGAGCTGCTGTTGCTGTTTGTTAAGCCTCTCTGATGGAGGACTGGATTTGTTTTGGCACTGAATTTCAGAAGACTCTAAAGGGCAGAAATAATCGAAACCACACACTGTCAAAGTCTTGTTAGGCTTTTCTCAGCAGTCCTGGAACATGTATGACTCACCAGCAAACAGCACATACCCTTAAGTGAATCTTCAGCCCAGCACAGGGAATGCATGTTGGGTGCATAGTTCTTTCCAAGGGTTCGGGGCTTTTATCTCTCTGCTCTTTGTCTGTGCAAATGAACAGGTCTCTTCATTTGCAAAATACATGTAAAAGTGCTATTTTTCCCAAAAGTTACCAATTACACAACATAATGTAATAGTGATGACTATTATGGGTAATAAGGTATTCTAATATTATTTGTATCAAACTGAAAATCTCCAAAATAGTCTGTTCAACTGAGCCACTAATGTCGACGTGACAAAATACATTGTGACACTGAGCGTCTTTCTCTCATGCCTGTGGCTGTCATCTAATTCTGCACTTAAACAATGAATTGGGTAAAACATCCCTAACACTAAAAGGAGAAAAAGAAATTTTGCAGTGGGAAACAATATTAAATGTGGAAAATTCACTTCTATTTGTTCTTAGTGCTGTGCTTTTAACACTGTGGTCAGACATGTAAAAGAAAACCCTGAGAAGTTGCCACAAAAAAACAAAACCATAAGAACTTTGCAACACTCCATTTTAGATACTGCAAAATATAAACTTGGTTACAGCTTGAGAACATTAAAAACTCCTCAAACCTTAAATATTTTATTTGCTATTAAATTCCTGAAAACAACTAAGAGTACATAAAAATGAGGCTAGCATCTACTTAATTCTAATTGAAAACATAAGTCTTTGTTTCCTATTGACTCGAGACAGCAGTGCTGCCAAGAGACATTTCATTAGACAATATAGTCTTGTCATTTTATAAAAAAAACTCCAACAGATTATTTTAATTGCTTCACACAATACTAAGAGAGAAATGACACTTGCAAACAAAAGCCAGACTCAAACGATACTCACATTTCTCTGAGAGGTTTTCGGGGGTAGGAAAAAGACTGCTAATTTACATTTTCATTTTCTAACAATTCTGAAGCTGCTGATTGTCAGAAACTGTAACATCAACATAAAGCTGCATATAGGTCTTTTGCCAGCTACTCATCAGGCTTTTCTGCACAAGCCACCTCAATACCCAGGCTACCAAAGTTTTCTTTTCTTATTCTGAAGAGAGGCTTCTCAGTTTTCACCTGCCTTTTTTCCTCACAAATATCTATGCTGATATTATGGTTAAAAATACCTGTTTGCTAATCCTGCAAGACAGTTCTCTTGAAAGTATGTGTTCTCTTGCTACCCAGAGGTATATCATGCTTTCTAGGTTACCAACTGAGTGAAAAAAACTTAAAAGCATGGGTTTTGAAATAACAACGCATGGCCTGCCAGGCCTCATTAAATCCAAGATCTATTACAGGGCAAAATGATGGTTATGTTCTCATTTACTTTTTCATAAAATCTACATGTCAGAACCCATTCAATATATTCTTGAAGAGTTCTAACATACAGGCTTATAACTATAACAATGATCTAAATTACTAAGAACAAAACAAAGACGACAAAGTATGGGTAATTTGCTGATTTTTAGATAATATTTGGTAGTCACTGTATGGAAGCAACTCATACATCAGAAGATTTATGTAATACACTATTCAAATATACACAGTTGTTTTGCTAGTTGAATGTATGATAATCAAATGTAGGACCCATGTTAAAAGCTGTATTTGAAACAAAATTCCCTTTACAAGGACAGTACTAATAAAAAGAAGTGCTGAAAACCCATATACAGGGAAGGTTTAATTTGCATTTAGTTACCTATTGAGGCATACATTGCTAATAAATCAATATTCAACATCCAGGATTCTCAAGAATCAAAAGTAACTCAGAAGCAACCTATGGTTACACAGCTTTAGATAGCTTATAAAGAAGGAATTTAAGAAGTGCTGGATAACTTCAGATGAAGTACTATCTGAAAATTGAGAGTTATATTTAAAGTTAGTTAATTCAATCTAAATGACTATGCTAAATCAGTTACACAAACACCTTGCAGAAATAAAAAACAAAAGTTAATTATTTTTATTTTTTTAAAAGAGCGTGTATAACATTAACTGCATTTAAATCAATATAAAGAGCTTTTTGGACGAAAAGTCTGCCTCTAACTACACTTCCACAAAAACGAGATTCAACACTATTTCAATACACAGACATTTACTCAACAGATTTTGTATTTTCTTTTTTCTTTCTTATTTCTATTACATTTTCTATTGAAAACAACAAAAATGTACACTTTGTTATGCACTTCTAGAAAAACATCATAAACACAAATGATGTGCTATTTACTAATTTAGATTAAGTCTCTTTAGACAAGTCTACTGAATTAGAGAAAAAATTTAGAAAGCATGCAAAAGTAAAGGTAACCTTACCTTTTCATCATCATCAGAAAAAGGGGCACCTCCTGGAGTCTTATTTATTGCTTGGGCAACACCAATAATCTCTCCATCACTGTTTCTTATGGGCATGCACAAGAGTGACTTTGTCTTGTATCCAGTCAGTTTGTCAATCTCATCATTAAAGCGTCGATCCTTCAAAAGGAAATTAGGAAACATTAACATATATTTCATATATCTAAGCTTTCTTCAGACAGCAAAGTACTTTTCTCAATGTCTGATATGGTACTTTTCAGTAGCATTAGGCTGTTGCTTCTCTGTTATCAGGCCATTCTTTATTAGTTGTTTTTCCTTACTTTTCTCAGGGGATCAGTACAAATTTACCATTACATTATCACATTCACTGAAGTCCCACATCTCTACCTCAATTAGAAGAGTGTCAGCAGAGACTGATATCTGCCATTAGTAACATGACCTTATATAAACACTTCTGCCAGGCCCTGCTGCCATTTCACACCCATATTCTGTAGATGTGCACAATGTCTCTCTCAAGTAAATGGAAACTCTTTTTGGCCCATTTCTCTCTATTCAAGTATGACTGGTTATGTGGACTGGATCCAGTACAAACACACACTCAAAGAAATACAGTCAAAATCTCAGCTCTTTCTGCAAAACTAAGTACAGGAATGTCCCTGTTCAAAAAAGGCACTGTGCAGCAATCCATGCTCTGGAACAGTAAAGCCCAAATTGAAGATCATAAAGTAACTCAAAGGAGGATGAAAACCTAAGAGGTAGTGCTGACATCACTTTTGTTCATCTTGGTGGAGCATAGTCTTCAACAGCTCTTCTATCAGCCAGAGAGGAAATTACTGCTCTTCACTGGCAGCAGCTCTGTTCCTCTGTTCACCTTTCCTAAGGGTAAAGTTAGCATTGTGCTGCAGGCAATAGTTAAAGCCAGCTCAGACTCTCCTAACATAAAGGAATTAAGCTGTTGTACAAAATTAGGCACAACTTTTTGTTTTCAAAAGTTTAATCAATATTGGCTGTGAAATAATGCCCATATTTGTCTCAAGTCATGAAAACAATCCACACCGTCCTTAATTTGATTGTGATGAGCAATGCAATCATTTTTTACTGATACTAAAAACTGACAATTTCTTTTTCTTGACAATTTTTAATCTATTTTCCTGTTGTAAATTCCAGATGCTATAGAAATAGTCTCTTCACTTTGAGACATGATTTAGAAATTCTCTATTTTTACCCAGCTTAACATATACATTTGGCTACTTTATTACTTATTGCACATTTTCCAGCATCTCAACCAGAAGGAATTAATACCAAATGTACCCAACAACTTCTTTGGGAGAGCCAAGGATGCAGATCTGCCTGATCTTGTGATCTTTCCAAATGCTTCTAAACACTTTTATTTTAATGTGTTTAGAATAACAACTAAACACATTCGTTTAGTGTTATTCTAAACTAATAACTTCAACTTCAACTTCAGTAGAAGCTGAACTGTTCTGCATCACAGAGAATCCTGCCTAGAAAGATACAGTTCTTCTACAACAGAAGAAAGGAAAATGCAATGCAATTATCACACAGTGGGCTTCACTAATGAATAAATTAAATTTTTCTTCCAGTACTTCCTGGTAATGTCTGAACTACTATTTGGAATTAGCTGCTGTTGCTGAAATATTGATAAGATATTTTGTGCTACTGAAGAGACAGTCCCTGCTCTACTAATTTTGTACCAAGCAAAGCAGAGTACATGGGGAAAACACTGAAACAACAGTGTGCCTTGAGTAGCAATACTGTTGTTGATTGACACCTAGAGGGCCTTACAAAAAATCAAACCTTCAAGGGGCAGTTGAACTGAAAAAACCACAACAGCTGTTGGTCACACCAAAAGTGAGTTGAGATTTTCTCATCTGAATACACTCCATTCATGTGTTATATGTGGTCATTGCCTTTCCAACAGGCCTCTCTGTGTGTCTCTCCCCCTGGAACCTCTACACTAGGAGGAAGCAGGATATCAGATTATATCCTCTGATGCTAGAGAACTGGATGACCTTTTTCAGAAGGGTATTATGTCTTAAAACCAAAACTAAAGGTACAGTAGTCTAAGAAAGGGAATGTGTTTAATTGGAAAAATGAGGCATTATGGACAAAAAACTCAGTAACTTGGTAAAAGCTGAGAACCATGAAGATGTGAAGTGAACCTACCCCTACTCTTTTGTGGAAAAGTATGCCAGAATTTCATGTGGGTGACATTTGAATAAGTGATGAGGAGAGATATATAAGTGAAGAAAACAAAATGCTGTTCCTGGCAACATTGATATTGTTGGACCATGCAATATGCACAGAACACGGTGACTGGATGACCTGCATTATGTTCCAAACCTTTTATCCCCACACTCTTCTTTCATATTGTCATATTAGGACACACTTGGCAGGATCTAAAAGAGTGGTTTTACTGAGTTTAACGGTACCAATAAAAACTTTAATGCCCAGGTGTGAACTGTGATGGCCAAGAATGGACAATATTTACACCCCCCCTCTCCTCACAGGGTAGTAACCTTGAGCAAGGAGGCCTGTTTAGCAGCTGACAAGAAAGCTGGTAAATCAGAGAGAAGCTCTCAGTTGATATCTCAAAATGTTTGCAAACTGTATTATCCCACATGTTGGAACAGCCTGCAACACAACAGGGTCTTCATTTGTCTCCTTACCCTGGGTGGTAAGGAGTCTCAGTGTTTATGACAGCAATGCAGCACTTGCTTTTCAGTTTTTTACCATTAAAAGATATATTCAAAAATCAGGGGCAGACTAAATAAAAGCTTTTGAGAGGGAGACTTCACCATAATTGTAATTGTACTTACAGTATTTTCATGCAAGAACACTCATGAATTGAAGTCTTCCACTGACTGTTTAAAGAAATACTAAATACTGCTTTGGTTCTACATAATGAGTTTTCTACACAGATATATTAAAAATGTGAAGGCTGAGGCATTTTTAACTGGAATTTCACATCTGCCATCAATGAAAAGTTACTCTGTAAGACAAACCCTATCCTAGCCTTAAAGATATTTATTGACTGTAAATGTTGCCCTGTGAAAGATGAATGAAGTAAAGACATAGAAGAGAGCAAGTTTGATCCATCAATCTAAGTGCTGGTAATCCAGTTCCCTGCTCAGGAACAATGTAGTCCCAGGTTTTTGCATATATTTGAAGCTTGCCAGTGAATGAGAACAGATAAATATCTTCATGGGTTTATTCTGTAGAAGAGCAGATTGGTACAGAAAGATTTTTTTTTTCCTATTAGTGTTCTAGAATCATACATTATCAGAATCTCAACTTTCAGCTAAAGTTTTGGCTTCTGAGCAGTTTCACCAACTGCTTTTTGGTGTTGATTTTCAGTTAAAGTTGGTAGTTCATACACTGTTAGCAAACATAGAAGTTTCACTGTGTTTTTCTGGATTTTTCAACATCGGATAACTCTTTGAACTTGAAAACATGTATTTTTATAACTTTATTAAAACCAGTAAATTTTATGTGAGCATTATCACCATGATTTAGAACAAAAGAAAGAAGTATAACCCTAACCCAAGTTAGCTAAGAATCAAATATTATAATGGAGGATGAAACCTGCTTGATAATATTTCCAGGAATTAAGTCTTCATGACAAAGCCACTTCCTCTTTCTTCAGTATCTAAGGAAAAGTGTTTAATCTAGTGAAATGCACCAAATGCCTCAGCCAAAGCTGACAGCTAAAAGAGAAAGATATTTTTGATTTTATTATTTGAAAACATTATTATTTCAAATCTTCTGATGACACAGAAGAGAACACTACAAAAAATATTCTATTAACAGGCCTGGCCTATTATATTTTACCATTTACAGCACCATTTTTTGTTGTTGCTTTGGTTTTTTTTTTTAATAAAGGGCTCAATTTAAAAAACAAAAAAACACACAAATTTGCATCAAAATTTCCTGAACTGTACGGTATTTAAGTTCCTGATTAAGTTGCTAAGTTGCACCAAAAATAACTAATACAAGTATTATGACAGCATTGTTAATACCTGAGTGTTACTGGAGTACCCAACTGCATGGGATAGACAAGTTTGAGTGAATTTATAGAAAGGCATCCTCCAAGAGCCTTTACAAAAATAAAGAAATTGAAATTGGAAGATCTCATAACTTGATTCACTTTCCTAATCACACTTCCTGTAATTATAATACATAAGCTTTTATAGAAAGAAAAAAGAGCAAGAAAGCTAAAAGAGCAATCTAAAAGACAGCAAGTTCTCTAGATTCAAAGCATAACATTAAAAATGCTAAATACAAATAAAAAAAATTAGGCCATGCAGTCTGTTCTAGATGCACTTTTCTAAAAATCACATATGGTGCAAATTACATTGTGCATAAACAGGAAACAAAACCCAACCAATAAACTACTACAGGAGATAAGGGGAAACCTTGTAGACAAGAAACTCACACACAAAACACAACTAATAAAGCAATCTCTGACAAGACTTCCATGTAAGGACTGCTTCAGCTATTCCTGTCATCTCCCCCAAAATCCCTAAATCCCCAGAGACAAAGGCAGCAGGAGAACAAACTCGTACCAGGCAACAGCATTGCAAACCTAATTCTCCCAAGTAAATAAGCACAGTCCAGTTATATTGTGACTATTTATACAGTGACAGCAATAATTCTTATAGGAAAAAAATTACTACAACAGATAGGACACATGAAACAGCTCAGCCAACTCTTATTTCTTTACTCCCTAAACAATTTTTATAAAAGGAGAGAGCATTGATCTCAAAAATATTTAAGTTCCAGATTTAAAACTAAGACCATTTATAGTCAGAATTTATACAGTAGCTTACTTTGTAAAAATGGAAAAGGTGTTGATTTGCAACAATGCAATACTAAATTTTTTTTGGTGTTCCCCCCCCCCCCCCACATATGTCAGGAGTTTGGGGCTTTGTTTAGTTTGATTGGTGGGAGTGTCTCATACAACTTATGAGCTCTCTTTCTGAGCACTGTTTCAGTTATTAGTTTGACAATGGACATTAGTAACAATACACGTTTGTCTAATTATGACTTGCACAAAATTAATGTGAAAAAATCATATAATAGTCTTAAACAGGAAGAAAAGACTTTATAAGCATGAGCAAGTCTGCAAACACGAGTGC